TAAATAATCATCTCTTGCCATCTTTAAACATTCTTATAAACCGGCTTCCGTGGTGTAGCGGTTATGCGCTTCGCTGGAGCATGCAAGAGACCCGAGTTCAATCCCCGAGCGGGGAGAAAATTTTGATCGAGTATCTCTCGGTCTTTCTGCTGGGATGTTGTATCCCTCTCAGCCCGGGTTGGCCCTGACAGCTGGGGACGGAAGCCCGCCTCCTAAATGATCTACTTTGTGTCGATGGGGGCATAAAACGTCCACATTACTTTAATCTACTTAACCGGTTGTGGGTCGTAGAGTGAGCGAACTTTTAGCACGCTGGCTTAACTCTTTGAAGACACAAACTTTGGTTATTCGAACATTTGAAGAAGCTTAACTTCGTTATTATCCATTTAGATTTTAAACAATATATTATTTTCTTTTTTTCTGAGCCCTAAAAAGTTTTTTAAAAAAATTTAAATTCAGGATGCATTTTGTGAAATGTTAAATCTCGTGTTTCTGGTTTGTGTATGTAGGTTCAAAATGATCCACAACATTGGCTTTGAGCTGTTTCTGGTCGGACAATAAATGTGTCCGATACGTCCCTAAAGAGTTAACACAATCCGTACGCCTGGGGGTCATTTTGTACCCCCGGGGTTGTATTCTTCACATTTTAGAATACTTCTAGAGCGAAGATCTTTTTGAAACTTTCAGTATTTCTCAAAAACTATTTTTCTAATCGTGGGTGGTTGGCGGGTGCTCTGGTGTGATTTGCTTCTTCTTTCCTATCAAACATCTATCGTCCTTATCTCTTATCTCCCCTTCTTCTTTTTTATGTTTGTTACTCTCTTGTAACACCTCTAATCTTCTGGCGCTCAATTATGACCTTATGCAATTGCGTGCGCCGTAAAACCTGTACTAAAACAAACAAAATCGGTCATAATATGTTACTTTGGGATCATACGAGCTAAGTTCCTTCCGTACGGTTGGTGCCTCTAGATTCTATAAATAAATAAATTATTGATGATGGTCAAGGTCGTCTTGGTCAATAATTAATTTTCTCGACTGAATTGGGTTTTTTCTTCTTTTTTCTTTTTTCTTTCTTTCTTTGTTTCATTCTTTCTTTCTTTCTTTGTTTCTTTGTTTTATTCTTTCTTTCTTTCTTTGTTTCTTTGTTTCATTCTTTCTTTCTTTGTTTCTTTGCTTCATTTTTTCTTTCTTTGTTTCATTCTTTCTTTCTTTCTCCGCAGACGGGCGACGAGCGCCAGACTGACGTCACTGAAGCAGCGGTGGGAGGGAGTGGAGCGGAGGAGACTGCTGAGGTCACGACAAGGCTTCACGTCATGCACGCCAGACAGGCCCACCCCGCCCGCTGTGGTGATTACAGGGGTGGAGGCGGGCAACGGTGGCGGTGGTGGTGCTGGTGGTGGTGGTAGTGGTGGTGATGGTGTTGGTGGTGGTAGTGGTGGTGGTGGTGGTGACGACATCAACAATAACAGCAGCTCTGTGATCAACAATAACAGTAATAACAATACTAACAATAGTAACCACAACAGCAGAAGCAACGATGCTGGTAGCAGAAGTGGGATGGGTAACAGCGGGACTGCTAGTTTTTCTTGATGACGATGTATCCTATTTTAAAATTATTATCATATGTTTAGTAGTATAGTTTTTTTTACGGCACTCGTAACTGCATAAGGTCATATGAGCGCCAAGGGGTGGATGTCAACAGAAAAGTCCTTACAGGGAATCAGACTTACTCTGCTCACCTCTCTAGCTTCAACAGAGTCTGCTTCGACTATCAAGGCACCTCGGAAATAGCGGGTCACAAGAGTGTGACAAACATACAAAAGAAAGAGAGAGAGAGAGAGAGAGAGAGAGAGAGAGAGAGAGAGAGAGAGAGAAAGAGAGAGAGAGAGAGAGAGCGAGC